CATTCATCCATCCATCCATTCATCCATCCATCCATCCATCCATTCATTCATCCATCCATTCATTCATCCATCTATTCATCCATCCATTCATCCATTCATTCATCCATTCATCCATTCATTCATCCATTCATTCATCCATTCATTCATCCATTCATCCATTCATTCATCCATTCATCCATCCATTCATTCATCCATCCATTCATCCATCCATCCATCCATCCATCCATCCATCCATCCATCCATCCATCCATCCATTCATTCATTCATTCATTCATTCATCCATCCATTTTCTTCCTCTTATCCGGGGTCTGGTCGCGGGGGTAGCAGCCTAAGTAGGGAGGCCCAGACTTCCCTCGGTCCAGCCACTTGGTCCAGCTCCTCCAGGGGAATCCCGAGGCGTTCCCAGACTGAGAAACATAGTCCCTCCAGCGTGTCCTGGGTCTTCCTCTGGTCTCCTCCCGGTGGGACGTGTCCAGAACACCTCACCAGGGAGGCGTCCAGGAGGCATCCTAACCCCCATTATCTTGTACCTGAAAGTGTTTAGCTCCTCTGAGATCAGTGACTGCCCAGAAAAAACAAAAAAATATGGACTGTCCCTTTAAAATGGTTTATGGGTAAAATGTAGAGAGTATCTTACCTGTTTCAGTATCTTACCTGTTTCAGTATCTTACCTGTTTCAGTATCTTACCTGTTTCAGATGGCTTCTTTAACAGACTCAGTTTAGAGAAACAGAATTAAATTCTGACTTGACTGAGAAACCGACAGCTGCTCTGGTTCTTAAATCAACTCAGATCTCTAAAGTTCAGTTCACGTAAACGTCTAAATTTAATTAAATTTTATCATTTCCACGACTCAGAGTAGAGTCGCTGCTTCTCCACGTCGAGAGGAGCCAGTTCAGGTGGCTCGAGCATCTGGTTCTGGTTCTGGTCTGGGATCCGGATCATTCAGCTCAGCTCACCACAAACGACCACCTGGATTGATTTCAGTTCTGTGGTGGTAGTTTCTCTGCTTCAACATCTAAATCATGCAGGATGGTTCTGCAGAACCAGAACTGGACCCCACTGGTTCAGTTTCACTTGTAAGGAGCTGAAGCAAATGATCCGGGTCCCAGAACAGAGCTACAATGACTACAGGTAAGATACTGACGGCTAATGCGCTTCAATATAGTTGAACTATCCCTTTAATCCTGGTTGGTTCTTTTGTTCCAGCTTGTTGGAACGGGTTCAGCTGCAGCAGAACTGTTCTGGGTCTTTAGTTCTCCTTACATTAACTGTAACCTGTTGGTTTGTTTGTCTCACCTGCTCAGGTGAAGGCCATCGGGCAGGCGGAGCTGAACAGCAGCAATCCAGAGGAAGTTCTGCAGCTCGCCGCTCAGAAGAGGAAGAAGCGCTTCCTGCAGGCCATGGCCAAACTCTACTTCTGAAAACACACGACGATAAACCAACGTTCCTTCTGCTTTCTAGAAAAATGAAACGAAAACGTTTGATGTCAGGATGGAAACAATTATTAATTATATGATTAATTAATTAAAATGCATTAAACCAACGTCAGACTGAAGAAAAACACTTCAGAATTTAATCTGATAAAATAACGACATTAATCTGAAACAACCTGCAGATTACAGGAAACACGGACTTCACTCCGTCAGGTGCGACGACTGGTTCTGCTGGTTCTGCTGGTCTGGACCCGGCGCTGCAGTTCTTCATTTATGGTTCTGTTTGATGACCCGACCCGTCACAGTTTGAACACAAATGACTCGAGCACGGTGGCTCAGTGGGTAGAGCTGCTGCCTCTCAGCGAGCAGGTTGCCTTGGTTCAATCCCAGTCCAGGATCTTTCTGTGTGTAGTCTGCATGTTCTGTCCGTGCTGCGTGGGTTTTCACACACACACACACGTCTGAGAAGGGTTAGGAAGAAGTCAAACTTCTTTAATCCCACCACTTCTCCAATACTCAAGTTCCACTTTACACCCGTCTGGTTTTCAGAGTCTTGAGTCCATGAGAGGCAGAAAAGAAAACTAAATAATCACACCCAGGAACTTAATTTCATTAACTGTCTACGTACTCACCTTCAGTTCCTACTTTTAAATCATCATTCCCTTTACGATTTCCAAACAACATAAACTTAGTTTTGTCCAAATTTAATTATTTATTTATATGAATCCACTTTTTTAATTTGCTCAACTCTGAGGTTCAAGCTGCTGTAAATTGTCCCCTTCACATAAAATATCTGTGTCATCTGCAAACAGAACAAACTTGTATTTTTGAGACCTTCCATATGTCATTTATGTACAGAATAAAAAGTTTAGGTCCCAGTACTGATCCCTGGGGGACACCACAAACGATGTCCAAACATGATTGTTGAAAGTCACGTGTTTTTACAAATCGTTTCCAGTTACTTAAATAACTTTCATCCATAAGTAAAACCACTCCCCTGATACCAAAATGCTCCAGTTGATTAAAAAGTCGTGATTTATTGTGTCCAATACTTTTTTAACAGAACTGAACATTTATTTTTGTCTAGTTTCTTCTGTTGGTTCCAGAACTGCCAGTGAGGTTGATCTTTGAGACCTAAATCCACGTTGACATTCACACAGCAGTTATTGTTTATTCATAACTTTGTACAATCAATCAATCAATATCCTGATGCTGCTCAATAATCCAGGTAGAAAAATCTAAAAACGTTAAGTCTGGACGTTCAGAAATAAAAACACGTAGAAACGTTTCGTCTCATCTGAAAGACCTCCTCTGTCTGGAGCTCCCCCAAGAAAATATCGCATCATTTTCTTTTTCATCCGAGTTAATTTGATTTAATATGTGGTTGTTGTGATATTTTCCTCTCAAAACACAACTAATACATAAATAAATCGATTATATTGAGTTTAAAAAAAATTCAGATCTCACAACAGGAAATGAAACTCTGAACCGGAAGTGAAAATGCAAGTTACTGAAAGTTTGGTAAACATTTGAAAAGTGCACGAGATGTAAAAATAGATGGTTTTCTATTAAGCAAACTGTCTAGAATGGAATCAGACTGAACCAACAAATAACAATTAGAAGAAGGATGAAGCTGCCATCCTTCCACATCTGGAGGCTGCTGCTGACTGAAC